CCCCCCGCCCCCACAGCATTTCCTACAAAATCGCGGTCTTGGCGCCAAGCAGCCGTTGCAACAAGCAAAACGTCCGGGCCGGCCACTCCGCCGGCCCGCCTGCTGGCAGGTTTCAATTCAGCCTCATGCAAAACCCATCTGACCTACACCCCCAACCGGACCAACTTCATTCGGTCAAAGCCGCCAGTCCGAGATGTAGCAGGTGGCCTCGTACGTCATCGTGCCCCACTCCGGCAGCCGCTTCTTCATGGCGGCCAGTGCCGGGGTCTCTGCGAGGTAGTCGACGTGCAGCTGCACGCGCAGCTTCCCTCCCCCGTCGGCCCCCGCACCCGCCGCGACGCGCACCGACACGCGCCAAGGCGTCCGCCACCGCTGGCTGGTCCACCGCACCACGAGGTTGCGCGGCGCTGCGCCGCCGGGGCGCCACTTTTGCGGCGTGAGGGACCAAGACAGGACGCCGCCGGGCGCTGTCACATTAAGCAGGCCCCAGCAGGGCGCCTCTGTGTAGACGTCGAAGTGCACGTCTCGGTATGCGCCGCCGCCGTCCGTGGCCGTGAGCACGCCGGTGTCCTCCGAGACGAGCCTTATGTAAGGCAGCACGCCGACCGGCGGCGGCGACAGCGCCTTCGTCGGCATCAGGTGGACGTCGATGAGTTCAGAAATTGGGTAGATGGACGACCACTCGCTGCCGCCCGCCGGCTGCCGCCGCGCCCGCGCGAGCGGCAGCCGCATAGCGCGGAGCAGCGCGGCGACGGGCGTGCTGTCGGTGCCGGCGAAGGCCCACTGGGAGTCGACGACGCGCGACTGGACGTGAGCTGCGGCACTGATGTCGGCGTCAACCGCCGCGGCGGCGGGGTTTTTTGAGAGTGGGAGCGCCTCGGTGTGGTGAAGGTGCAGGAGCAGCAGGCGCTTGGGCATCTTGGGGCTGTAGGGCGCCAGCCGAGCGGAAGCTGCGGGGCCACGCGGGGGGGGCGGGGGCCGGATGGCAGTGTGTGTCTGAAATGCAGGTTTTACATGCTTGCCGATGGTGGCGACGAGCGTGCGGGATCGCAGAGAGCAACAGCAGTGGCAGCTGCAAAGACTACCACCCCATTTGCCGGCTGCAGCAAAAACACACTCAATCCGAAAGACCAGCAGGCGGGGGACTTCTCTTTGACATGCGACCCCAGCCTGAGCCCAGCCCCGCAACATGCTGACGCACCGTAAACGGACGCGCATAGCGAAGTCAGCAGCAGGGCCCACGCCAGGCGCTTCGTCCCGCGCCGGCCCAGCGCGGCGACGACCAGGGGCGTGTTGACGCCGCCCATCAGCGCCACCGACCCGACGCCGACCAGCAGCCCCGCGACAAAATCGCCCATCCCGAAGAACACGTGGCCTGCGGTGGGTAGGGCGTGTGCAACAGGGTGAAGAGCCATGCGGCTGGATGCGGCGCATCCCACAGATTTGAACATGTGTGGCCTCGGCAGCCGGGAGGCGCCTGCACTGCTTCGCAAGTGGTCCATCCCCTGGCCTCATTGTTGCCGCTCTTGTGACCGAATCCATCGTCCTCTTCATCGGACCTGTTTGACAGCCACTTGACCCCTCTCCCTCTTTTGTCAAAACGGCGCCGTGCCCTCCGCCTCTGCAAGCTAGCCCTCCCTCTGGTATGACTCGCGTGACTCGCGGGCTTGGCGGCATGCGTGACCTCTCTCTCCACCACCTAAACCCTAAAAACTCTAAACCCTAAAATCACCCACCAGTGAGCGACATGCGGCCGATGAGGGCCAGCAGAACCCCCACAGCCATCTCGCAGCAGGCGTAGGTTGGCACGGCGGTGGCCACCAGCACGCCCAGCGTCGCGCGCAGGGAGGGGCCCTGGAGGGCGGGCGCGCGTGGCATCGCGCGCACGGCAGAGGAGTGAGCACATAGGCGGGCAGCGGCAGTTTTGGGCTTTAAACAGGGAGGTCATGGACTGTAATTCGCAGTCCCCACGCCCGGCTTTGGACAGGAGGCTTGTGGACTGTGGTTGCAGTCCCCACGCCTGGCTGGCAAGCACATAATCTAACCCACACAAAGGTGAACGGGTCATGTTAATCGCCCACGTCGTGCAGAAAAACAACCTCGCTGGCGCTCGCACGCGCACCTCGAGCGCGAGCGGCGCAGCCAGCACGCCGGCCGCGCCCCACATCGCAAACACGCAGCTCATCCCGAGGTCAAACGGCGCTGTCGCCGCCGCGATGATGCTGTTCATGAGGCCGCCTCCCAACACATGGTATGCCAGCGCGGGCGGCGGCGCCCCGCCGGCCGCCACGGCCGCTGCGACGGCGGCCGCCGCGCGCCCGTTTGCGACTGTAGCAGCGCCGTTTGCGGCGGGGCCGGGGCTGGCGGCAGCAGCGGCGGCTGTGTAGTCGGTGTTGGCGTACAGGAAGAGCTGCACTGCAAACGCCAGTGGAAGGTATAGGGCGATGACGGCTGGCGGGTAGGCAAACCAGATCATGGGTGTGCCTGAGAGGGACAGGGGTCAACAGGGTGGGGGCGAGAAGGCGTCAGGTGTTGGGATAACTCGAAGCGTAAAAGCGCTGCTGAGCGGGGGCAGCTGCGAGCGGTCGGGTTGAGCTGCAAGCGAGTGGTCGAAGGGGTCAGAGCATGCAATCATGCAGCGCGGACGGCGAGCTTGCAGGCTTGTTGCGGTGCTGATGGTTGGCCTTGCCCAGAGCTCCGGCTTGACCCCCCAGTCACGTGGGCCCCTCCGCATCCCCGCTCACCCGACACCAGCGCCCTGACCACCCCAACCACCCCAGCCGCCGCTGGCGCCAGCAGCAGGCCGCCCAGCGCGCGCGCCGCCCCGCCGGCCGCGGCCGCGAGCCCGCGCATCGGCGGCAGCGCGTGGCCCGGGAAGAGCGCCGCGAGCGCCCAGGGCAGGGACAGGCCGACGGCAAGGGGCGCGGTGTGCAGGGCGCGGGCGGTCTGAGTGCTGTATGTCAGCATGACCCTGGCGCCGAGGGACATGAAGATTGCTTTGGGGGCACCATCCATCCCCGGGCCCTGCTGCCCGCCGCGCTGCTGCTGCTGCTGCTGCTGCTGCTGCTGCTGCTGCTGCTGCGGCTGATCGTTCGAGGTGGTGCCAGCCGCAGAGCCGGCGTCGTGGCGGGCCGCTAGGTCCTGACTCATGGCCCGAATGACGCCGGTCAGTGTCTCGCCGACTTCCTACATCAATCACATGGGTTAGCCAGCATGGGTGTTTTGCTGTGGTTGTCAGTGTTATGCGCATGCATGTGTGCGGGTGGGGCTGAGGTCAGCCATTCTGGAGGCCTAGTGATAACGGAGAGTCACAAGGAATTGAAGAAGGGCAATCCAAAACGACCCAGCACCTCTCAGCAGCACAACAGCTGTCCCCAACGCCGACCCCCGCCCTCTACGCTCCCATCCAAAGCGCCAGCGCGCATGCCCCCCACCAGCCTCGACCCTTCGCGGCTGCCGCGCGCCACGCTGCCCCGCCCACCTGCAGCACGCCAGCCCTCAGGCGCGCCATGGTGTCCCTGCCCGAGTGGTAGGCGGCGCCATCCGCCAGGTAGGCTATGTCCAGGCCCGGCAGGGAGCCGGCGTGGCGGTACGAGAGGCGGGAGAAGTCGGTCTCGCCCATCACCAGGCCGGCGTCAAAGATGTCCTGAGGGGGCCGAGTTTGGATGTTGGGTGGTCAATAGGGTGTCAGGTCACAGCGCGGATGGAGGAGGCAAAAGGGGGAAGGGGGCTGTCTGGGGGTTTGGAATAGCAGGTGTATGAGCTGTTGTGTGTGTGTGTGTATGTGTGTGTGTGGGTCTGCCTGGGCGCCCGTTGGCGCAGGGAGGGCCCGCAATCAGCCGCACAGGTCTTATGCTGTCATGCTGCAGCTGTTGACCCCGTTCAACCCCTCCCTTCCACGCGCTACCCCCACACACATACGCCTCACATGCACATACACACACACACATGAACAAACACACACACAATTACTCACATGCACGCAATGCACAGACACTTCACACATAACAACCACACACAAACACGCACCCACACACGCAACAAACTCATGCGCGCACATGCGCGCACACAGACAACAAGAAATGCGTGCACACACACTCACACACACGCGCCCGCGCGCGCAGTGACACGCATACACCATCCACCCGCCTGTGCAGTGATCGCGCCGCGCGGGTACTTGGCGCCGCGCGCGTACGCCCGGATCGTCCACGCCCCCGTGTGCTGGAACACGATGGGCACTCCGCCAGGCCCCAGGGCCTCCAGGTTGACAAACACTCCCACACGGGACGCCCACTTGCTGCGGTGCATCCACGCACTCGCGCTCTGCAGGTCAAGGGGGCGTGGGTTGTGCGTGGGGCCAGCGGTTTTGTTGATCGCACGGCCGACGGGTGGCTGACGTGCGTGCACGGGCCGTTTTTCGTGATGTTTCTCAGTTTCACGGTCCAGGTTGGGGCGCACAGCTTTGAGATCAGAAGTACGAGATCAGAAAGCCAGGTACGAGGATATTGAAGCGGCCATCAACAACATGCACGAGGCATACTAACAGCCCCACCACAGCCATCCCTGCCCATCTTCCCAAAACCCGCAGCTGCCCGGTGCAGGCAAACCCCCCTTGTGCGCCCACGGAGCCAAAGGCGTGGTCGCAGAGGCGCGCCCACCTGGCACAGCGCCTCCTCTGCGCCGCTGAAAAGGAACAGTACCGGGGTGGGCAGCGTCCCAGCGGCTGCCACAAGATTCGAGGCCAGCTCCATCATCGCCCCAACGTTCCCCGCATCGTCGCCGGCGCCTGCGCGCGGGCGCCGAGTCATTTCCGGCGTTGCGGGGGCGGTTGCTGAAGGCGGGGAGCCCCTGGCCGCGTGGGGTTGCTGAGGGGCGGCAGCTCCAGCTGACGAGAGCGGGTCGTGCTAGCCTCGCTGACCGCGTCGGCGGCCGCAGGCCGGACTCAAGCACGCCGGATTGATCATGTACGACGCCCCCATATACGCCGCCAGCTGACGCCGCAGAAACCACAGACGTGCCAAGCACCCAAGCTGCAACGTGCACTGCGGGCGCGAGCAGCCCGCCATCCTGCTCCCAACCTCGACCCGCACCCGGCGAGCTGACTGGGGCGTCGTGATGCGCCACAATCATGACGGCCGGCCGCGCCGCCGCAGCTGGGTCCTTGGGCGACACCAGCAGGTTTATGTTTGTAATGTTAAGGTACGCGTTGGTGAGGGGACGGCCCAGAAAGTTGATGGGGAAAGCGCCGTCGTGCGACTCCACGTCGACCTGTGGTGACAGGCGGCGCGTTTGACGGGCGTAAATAGGAATACTTTGCGGTGTTCAGGAGAGTAGTGGGGCAAGCAAGTGGCCCGCAAAGGCGCGAGCGTGGCGGCAGGGGCGATTGAGGGGCGGAGGTCCTTGCCAGCCAAGGGGTGTGCCAGAGGGGCAAGCGGCGGCCCCATTGCGGGGTTGGCAGGCATCCGTGTCGGCCTGAGGCCAGCCCCTCAACTCCTTTGCGCTGCTGGCTGCCACAGAGTTGCCGCGCCCTTTCTAGTCTGCCCCTGCTTCGCTGCCGCTAAAGGGCGGCCTGGCATGCCGCAGCCCTTTGTGATCGGGGACCAACCAGGCCGCGCCTCACCTGCACAAACAGGTCCTCGCGCTTGGCGGCAGCTGCCTGCAGCCTGCGGCCGTGGCGTATGATGTAGTGGTGCGCCTTGTCGAGGCCTGGGAGGGACACCTGCGATGGTGGTGGTGCCGTTGAAGTGGCCGCTGTGGTGGGGGGCTGGGAGCGCGGCCAGGCATCGGGGGCGTGCGCAGCGGCAAGTGGCGCAGGTGCTGCAAGCACTCCCTCACAGCTGCCCTACTCTGTGGAACAGCCTTCTGCTCGAGTCGTGTGCTTCTTCGGGGACATCAGCCACATGGCATGGTCCTCTGCATTGCATGCGGCTGTGCCTCATGATCAACTCCAGGCACGTGCGTGCACGCACCTGTCGGGGCCCCGCATCCTCAACCAGCACTCGGGTGTGTTCCCGCGCCCGCGCCTCGGAAAAGATCTCTGCCGGCACGTTGGCCGGCAGCGGCGCCGGGGTGTGCCAAAAGGCAAACTGCGACGTTAGCACCTGTGGGGAGCAGGGGATGAGGCGGCTTCAGGGGTGAGGTGCGGCTGGCGGAGCCCGTAAATCTGCCGTCCTCAGCTGCACGTAGACCTGCACCGTTACTGCAGCGGCGTGCTCACCCACGACTCAGTTACTCGTGCCTGCACAGCTCCTCACCATGGCTCCGTACCACACCGCAATGAGCGCAAAAGCGGCGGGTGCTGCAGTGCGCTGTGCTGGTGCAACCTCCTTGCTTAGTGCGCGCGGGCTTGGCTGTGCCGGCCCCATCAAGCCCTGCGCAAGCACAGATTCTGCAGCACGGGATGTTATTCTACCCCGTGATCGAGTGCCTTCGCTTCGTAGAAGGAAACGTTGTGATCAACTTTCGAGTCGTTCTGCGCCGGCATAGAATTGTTGGTGGGCCACCGGTATTATCTGAAGTTTAGTCGGGAGCGAGCGACAGCATGTGCACCGGGGCAAGGCGCCGCCATACCAAGGCGGCGTAGACCTGGTGAGTGGGCGTCACCCGGCAGCATTTGGGCCGTAACACTACCAAGCCATCGAAGAAGCCTGGAAGGCGACGAAACACTCAAGTTTATGGCAGGCCTTCTGTAAAGTTGGGGCAAGTAGAGCAGTGCAAAGGCATGGCGCAAGTTGACAAGTGAACAACTGCTTGTTTCAACTGTCGGCCAGGGGACTCATGGAGGCGGGAGCGGTCCCTTGGATCCATGCCGCCAGGCATACACAGCCCGTTTCAAAAACAGCGCATGGAGCACACAACAACATATTCTCCAGATGACCTGAACAATCATCACCAGCACACTAACACACACATCCTCGCACAGCTCGCGGGTGCTGCCAGCCGCAGTGCGACCAGCTGGAAGCCGCCAGCTCCGCGTTGACACGGTCTCGTAAGGTGGCCATGGCGACATTTTGGGATCCTCGTCCGATTTCACCTCAACGGCATGCCCACCCAGCAGGTCATCCCGCAGCACCTTTAGAGTGCTGCTCTGCGCAGACTTGCGCTTTGCACGTACGCAGGCCCCGCGTCCATGACTCCCCGAGAGGCAGCCAGCTGTCCCGTTTGGTGGATTGCGCAGAACCCACAAGACTGCCAGCCATATCGCCTGGTGAATCGGCACCGGATGCGGCGTGTGTATGCGCATAGCACAGCTTTCAAGGCGGCCGCGATGTGTGGCGCAGACACGATTCATGCTGACATGGGGCGCCCAGCGACGCGCGCCCGATGGCGTTTCAGTGAGCGCGCAGCATTTGATTGTTCAGGCAGCAGCTGTGTGTGACTGTCACATTCAGCCTGCGTGCGAAGGGGTCTGGTGTCCACCAGGCAGCGATTGGATTGTTGCACCTGACACAGCCACTCGCTGACGGCGGCGCTCATTGCTGGCTGCCCGGAAGGTGTTTTCAGAAACAGCTGTATGGCCATGTGCAGGCAAATTTCGGCATAAAACATGCCACATGTACGGTGGCGACCTCAATGCAGACATGGGGACGGGGCCTCGCTGGCGGGCAACGGCATGAGCCACACTAGGGCCAAACACTCTGACACCCACTCCTGCCGCCATGTGCGGCTGAGCGACCAAACCGAAAGCCATGCAATGGGCGCCAGTGGCCCAGCCGCAGAGTAGCAGCCAGCAGGGTGCTGTATCAGTGACGCCACGGCAAACGCTCAGCAGACGGAGTCGGTCGCGCTGTCGTAATCAAGGCGAACAGCGCCGTGACAGCTGAGCACCCCAGGGGATGCGCAAGGTGTTTCTGGCTGAAGTGATGGGCATCTCAAGCAACATAATTGATGTACGACCGACATTACAGGCTGACACAGAGCTCATCAGGGTTTGCCATGCACGATTGCATGTGCACTCAGCAGCACTGCCTCAGTGGGCGGCATGCCGGCACGGGCAGGGCATCGGCAAGCGAAGAAAGGCGAGCCTATGGACGAATGCTCAGATGGTCGCCATCTGATTGTTTACGTGATATCAGACTTTTTCAAGCAGTATACCGTAGTGCTGTAACCTGGGAAAGAGAGAAACCACAACAAGGCTCCATGTCGCTCTCAGTGGAGCCCTTTGCCTGATCGTATCATTCGAAGCTACCAAAGTCGTATCTGATAAGTGCTTATGATATCCTGACGGGAGCACACGACATCAACGCGCCAAAGGCGCGAGCTGCCCGTGCTCGCCAGTTCATGCCCGTGCTCGCTAGTATTCACATATGAACAAGAGAGGTGCACAAGTGCACCCATGGCTGCTGGATCAGGGTAAGCCGAGGCGCGCGATGCATGCGCCAACGCATCATCCGCCGCAAGCCTGGTCAACCCCCCATTGACATGGGCTCAAGCATGCAGGAGGCCGTGCAAGACGCTCAACTATTCACGAATCTGAGCTGCACGCTGCATGCTCTCAGGTGGGGCAGCGGATGCCGACGACGCGCGCGCTACCAAGCGGGTTCAGCTTGCAGCGCCCTGGAGTGCAGCGCCAGCGCTCTCGGATGGCATGCAGGAGACTGATCCCGAGGAGATGGTCCCTGCGGACTGGGACCTTGACGAGGTGCCAGGGGATAGAAAAACGTGCGGCGATATCAGTGGGGAGAGCTGCGGCGATGACAACCAGCAGCGTGATGCGCAGCAGGCTGTTCAGCAGGAGGGTTGGCTGAGCAGCATCGGCATGGGGCAGGGTAGTGGGGGTGCCAAGGAGCCCTCGCCAGAGTGCACGGGGTACATGAGAGTCCTGGAAGCGCAGCAGCAGCAGGAGCAGCAGCAGGAGCAGCAGCAGGAGCAGGAGCAGGATGAAGGGGGGCAGGAGGAGGACGGCGACGGGGAGCAGCAGAACGGGGTGCAGCTGCAGCTGCTACCGCGGGGGGAGCTCTCGGTGATGAATCTTCTCGATCCTGAGATTCAGGTGAACATGCGTTCTGTTGAATGCACGTGCAACATGCCAAGGCACATGCAACATGCCAACGGCAGCTGCTGGCTGGTTTGTAGGGAACGCATGGGCACAGTGGTGCACCTTGCACCTGCACATGTGCAATTAATAAGGTGTGATGTGCGCAAGGGATGATCGCACCGACATGCGGTCATCATCCCAGCCGCATGTCGATCCCACGAGAATAATTTATTGTTGTCCACCAGGTCCTCCCACCACCACATAAACACCAAAAGCTGTGGTGATAAGGGCCTGCCATGCATGCCCCTCGTCAAAACAACCAATGCAGGATCTGCTCAGAAGGGGGCAGATGACCCCAAGCATGATGGTGGTGCTCTTTCGATTTTTTACCATCGACCAGATCAAGTGGGCGGCGTCAACCGCAAATGTCGCCCGCTTGATGGCCAGGAACCGGCTGCGGGTGCGGCGTCAGATGCGTGACGCGGTGGTCAAGAAGGGCTACACAGCCCACATGCGTCCAATCACTGCCCTGAGCCTCAGCAACCTGAGCCTGGACGACAAAAATGACTACATTGGCGTGCTCGAGCGGATGGTGGGTGGGTGGGGCCTGCGCTGCGGTGAGCAATTGCTCCTGCAGCTTGAGATGCTTTTGATGGGGAAGGCAAGATGCCACACTGTTGTGCGTTCATCTTGAAGCTCCTTGCTTGCTGCTGAGGTGCGTGGCTCTGGATGGGCCACGTAGCTTTATGCAGCAAAGGGTGCATGCATCCAATAATGACTGCAGGCAGCTGCCGTACTCGCGCTTTTGAGGGTTGTCTTGACAATAACGAAGAGGCTCGCTATGCTGCCGTCTCTCAACACCAGGCAGGGGACGCAGAGCTGTGCAACGTGGCAGCCTACCTGCTGACGACGACGCTGGCGGCGGCGGGCTATGCAGATCTAGACAGCTTTCTTTTGGGGTATTACCCGGAGCTCGAGGCTGGCGAGGAGATGTACCGAACTTTTATGGTTCTGCACGTCAAGGTGAATGATGTGTGCCAGCTGCAGCGTTCAAGCATCCAGGGCTGCGTGAGCGGGGCCGCAGAGGGTCCGTCTGCAACACTTGCAACAATAACACAATAATCTTGAAGGATTTTGTGTGCATGCAAGCGTACACACCTGCATGTGCAGCGTATTGCCATTGCCTCTCCCCGCCTGTCCAGCCAAAGTGGGTGGGTAACTGCACAGCGGTTCATGGCGATGCGGTTCATGGCAAAGCAGGGGAGCCTCGCTCGATGCGGAGTGAGCACACCAGCTCAAACTATTAAGACTCAATTCACCACAACCGCAGCCCACCCCCCTTCCCGCATGCCCACACTTTACAAACCCCTAGTTCCCAAACCAGCTTATGCCGGCGCTTGCGGAGGCGGCAGGGATGCCGGACCTGCAGCGGCAGCTGGATGAGGAGCGCCCCCTCGACAGCGACGACGCCCGGTACCCGCTGCGGCTCCACTTCGTCAGCTCGACGGCGGGGCGCAGTGAGACGCCCATGATGGATTGGGTGTGTCAGCGGTTCCTGGAGGATGCAGGCATATTGGACAACAGCAGCGGCATCTACGGCGCCGGCGGCGCCCCTCAGCACGCGGCGGCCTTCGGGGGCGCGATGGGGGCCGCTGCAGCGCCATGGATGTTAGGCATGCCAGAACTTGAGTGGGTAGCAAGCGGTGCAGAGCCACAGGTGGCTGGGCCGTGGAGCGCCGCTGATGGCCCAGCGCTGGGGGCCGCCAACTGGGGCGTGGGCGCCGCCGGCGACAGTGTACCGCTGCCTGCTGGCCCGCCGGGCGCCGCCCACGCGGGGGCGTAGTGTGGCAGCGCCGGCGCACCGCTCGAGCTGGGCAGGTTGGGCGGGGCAGGTGGCGCCGAGCCGCTGACGTCTTACCTGTGGAGTGCCAGCTGCGGCAACGGCATGGGGGTGGGGGTGGCCGAGGATGGCGGCGACAGAAGCGCTGCAGGGCGACAGCAGCAGCAGCAGCAGCAGCAGCAGCAGCAGCAGCAGCAGCAGCAGCAGCAGCAGCAGCAGCAGCAGCAGCAGCACGCTGGTGGTGGGGCTGTCGCAGGCGCACGCGGCGCTGCGGAGGGCGTCGCAGGTGAGATACGTCAAACCGACTCACGCAAGGCGCGGCCTTTGTTACAGTCCCCTGCAGGGAACTGGCTGCTAATCTGCGAGCTCTGATTATATATACGCCTGACTTAATCATACATCTAATGATTATCCAATACTGCCGCGTTTGTTTCCTCTGC